GAAAAAGCAATCATGAAATTTTTTTGGAAAAATAAGAGACCCAGAATAACTAAAGCAATCCTTAGCAAGAAAAGTGAAGCAGGAGGCATCACAATACCAGACTTTAAACTATACTACAAAGCTATAGTAATAAAAATGGCAAGGTACTGGCACCAAAATTGACTTATAGACCAATGGTACAGAATAGAGAACACAGAGACAAACCCACATAAATATGGTTATGTCATACTAGACAAAGGTGCCAAAAACATTCACTGGAGAAAAGATGGTTTATTCAATAAATGGTGCTGGCATGAAATTAAACCTCTATCTCTCACCCTGGACAAAAATCAACTCAAAGTGGATCAACAAATAGGCACCAGAACAGAGACCCTGTGCCTAATAGAAGAAAATATAGGTCCAAATCTTTACCACGTTGGCCTAGGATCTGACTTCCTTAACAAGACTCCTAAAGCACAAGAAGTAAAATCAAGAATCAGTTAATAAGATAGATTCAAATTTCAAAAAACTTAACCAAAAAACCAAATAACCCAATCAATAAATGGGCTAAGGAACTGAACAGACATTTCACAGAAGAAGAAATACAATTGATCAACAAATATATGAAAAAGTGTTCAACATCTCTAGCAATTAGAGAAATGCAAATCAAAACTACTCTAAGATTTCATCTCACTCCTGTCAGAATGGCAATCATCAAGAATACAGGCAACAATAAATGATGGTGAGGATGTGGGGGAAAAGGTACACTCATACATTACTGGTGGGACTGCAAATCGGTGCAACTGCTACGGAAAACAGTATGGAGATTCCTTAGAAAATTGGGAATGGAACCACCATTTGACCCAGCTATCCCACTCCTTGTTTTATACCCAAAGGACTTAAAGTCAGCATACTATATTGATGCAGCCATATCAATGTTTATAGCAGCTCAATTCACAATAGCTAGACTATGGAACCAACCTAGGTGTCCCTCAATAGATGAATGAATAAAGAAAATGTGGTATGTATACTCAATGGAATATTACTCAGCTTTAAAGAAGAGTAAGGTTATGGCATTTGCCAGTAAATGGTTGGAGTTGGACAATATCATACTAAGTGAAATGAGCCAATCTCACAAAACCAAAGGACAAGTGTTTTCTCTAATATGCAGATGCTAATTCACAATATGATGGCGGGGGGCACTAGGGAAGAATAGCACTACCTTAGATTAGGTAAAGGGAAGTGATGGGAGGGGAGGGGATGGGATATGGGGATAGGAAAGATAGTACAATGAAGCAGACATTATTACTATATATATGTGACTGCATGACCAATATGATTCTGCAGCTTGTACACCCAGAAAAATGAGAAATTATATCCCAATTATGTATGATATATAAAAGTACATAAATGCATCCTACTGTCATGTGTAACTAATTAAAACAAATAAAAAATTATAAAAAAACAAATTAGCACTGAATGTGTTGGTGCATGCCTGTAATCCCAGCAGATAGGTAGGCTGAGGTAGGAGCATCATAAATTCAAAACTAGGGCTGGGGTTGTGGCTCAGTGGTAGAGCACTTGCCTAGCATGTGTGAGACACTGGGTTCAATCCTCAGCACCACATAAAAATAAATTAAAATTAAAAAATAAAGGTGTTTTGTCCATCTAAAGCTAAAAAAAAATAAATTCAAAACTAGCCTCAGCAACTTAGCAAGGCCCTAAGCAATTTAGCAAGACCTTGTCTCAAAAATAAATAAATAAAAAGGGGTGGGGATGTGGCTCAGGGGTTATACACCCCTGGGTTCAAATCCTGGCAAAACCTCCCCAAATGTTGCATATTAGCATAGCAAAATAATCATCAATTCTTAAAGAATTCTTGATACACATTTCTTTTTTAAAATTTATTGGTGCTGGGGATCAAACCCAGGAATGCCAGATAAGTCCTTTACCACTGAGCCACATTCCCAGCCCAAGAAATCTTGATAAAATGTATTAGTAAATCAATGTGTAAAAATATCTTTATTATAAACTAAGAATAGCCAAAGCATACTGAACAATATAAATGACACTGATGGCATCAAAATACCTGATCTCAAATTGTGCTACAGAGCTATAGTAACAAAAACAACATGTTATTGGCATAAAAAGTCACGAAGACCAATGAAATGGGAGACAAAAAGTCAATTTCGCATAGGTACAGTCATTTGATTCTTGTCAAAAGTACAAAAACCATATATTGGAGAAAAGATAGCATTTTTAACAAATGTTGCTGAGAAAACTGGATTTCCATATGTAGAAAAATGAAATTATATCCCTATCTCTCATCTGCACAAAAATCAACTAACAGTGGATCAAAACCCTAGGAATTAAACCAGAAACACTACAACTGCTAGAAGAAAACATAGGGTCAACAATCCAACATATTGGCTCAGGCACGGACTTCCTTAATAAGACTCCTAAAGCTTGGGAAATAAAACCAAGAATCAAATACATCAAATAAATCAAGTAAATCAAATAAAACCAAGAAGTGGAACAGTATCAAATTACAAAGCTTCTGCACAGCAAAGGAAACAAGAGCATGAAGAGAGAGCCAACAGATGAGAGAAAATCTTTGCTAATTAATCTTCCAACTGGAGATTAATATCCAGATACAGAAAAGAATTTAACACCATTCCCCAAATAACTAAATTCATAAATGGACAGATGAACTAAACATCTCTCAAATGAAGAAAGTTATAAATATATGAAAACAATACATAAATGAAAAAATATTCAACATCTGCAGTAATCAGGGAAATGTAAATCAAAACTACACTGGGATTTCATCTCATTCCAGTTAGCATGGCAACCATCAAGAACACAAATAACAATAAATGCTGCTTAGGATGTGGGGGAAAAGGTATACTCATGCATTGTTGATGGGACTGCAAATTAGTGCAATTATTTTACAGAGCAGTATATAGATTCTATTTTTAAAAAATTTTTTATTATTTTTTTTGTTGATTTGTAAGTTATTTTTTTAGCAGCTTCTTTTTTTTTTCAGAGAGAGAGAGGGAGAATTTTGACATTTATTTTTTAGTTTTTGGTGGACACAACATCTTTGTATGTGGTGCTGAGGATTGAACCCGGGCGCATGCATGCCAGGCAAGTGCACTACCGCTTGAGCCACATCCCCAGCCCCTGTAAGTTATTTTTTAACGTTTATTTTAATTATTTATTTTTATATGGTGCTCAGAATCAAACCCAGGGCCTTGCACATGCTAGGCAAGTGCTCTGCCGCTGAGCTACAACCCTAGCCCCAGTATATAGATTCTTAAAGAGACCATGAATGGAACCACCATTTGACCCAGCCATCCCAATTTTCGGTATGTATCCAAAAACAAAAGAAAAAAAAAAACAACCGTAAAATCAGCACACCACAGTGATACATGCATGTCAATGTTTATAGCAGTGCAATTCACAATAGCCAAGTTATGAAACCAGCCTAGGTGTCCCTCAATAGACAATTGGTAAACAAAAATGTGGTATATATACACAATGGAGTTTGACTCAGCCATAAAGATGATGAAATTATGTCATTTGCTGGTAAATAGATGAGACTGGAGAATATTATGCTGAGTGAAATAAGCCAGATTTAGAAAGTCAAGGATCGAGGGCTGGGGATGTGGCTCAAGCGGTGGCAGCGCTCGCCTGGCATGCATGCGCCCCAGTGGGATCCTCAGCACCACATACAAACAAGGATGTTGTGTCCGCCAAAAACTAAAAAAATAAAAAATGTTGAAGAATTCTCTCTCTCTGTCTCTCTCTTTAAAAAAAAAAAAGTCAAGGATCAAATGTTCTCATGCAGAAACTAGAGAGAAATAAGCAATTTAAAAAGGGGTTTGTGGGACTCTCATGAAAATAGAAGGGAGAACAATGGAGAGAAAGGTGATCCAGACAAAGGGAGGAGGGATGGAAATGGGAAAAAGAGTGGCATGACATTGAACAAAGTATGTTATGGGCATGTATGAATGTATCACAATGAGTTCCACTTTTATGTATATATAACTCCAGCGTACTAATTAAAAACCATAGAGGGAAGACCAACAGAGAAGAGGAAGGGGCTTAGGGGAGGTATAGAACTGAAATGGAGCAAATTATGTGCATTTATGAATATGCCAAAACGAACCCCACATTTATGTATAACTATGATTTAAGATAAATACATATTTTTTCTAGACTTTATTTTAATTTTTTTAGTTGTAGTTGGACACAATACCTTTATTTTATGTATTTATTTTTATGTGGTGCTGAGGATCGAACCCAGCGCCATGCACATGCTAGGCGAGCGTTCTACCGCTGAGCCACAACCCCAGCCCCAAATATATATATAAATCTTTATTATGGCTGGGGATGTAACTCATTGGTGGAATTCGTGCTTAAAATGCACAAGTCTTGGGTTCCATTTCCAACACCAAAAGAAAAAAAAAAAAGAAAAGAAAAAGAAAAAATATCTTTGTTAACTCTACAAATGCTACCCACTGAAAACCACAGCCAAGTGGCATTGCAGGAGAAATTCTAGAATTTTTGCTGAATAAATGAAGACTGCCTGATCTATCCAAATGGGAGGCCCCGGATCATCTGCTAAGACCTGAATAATAAAAATATATTTGAAGAAGAAACAATTCAAGGTTCCTAAAAATATATATAACTTTGAAAAGTAAAGCAATAGACAGGGTTTATCAGGGTATCCAGATAAGGAAATAGTTAAAAGACCCAGTGTATGGAGGGCACCGACCACTCCATTGATTGACAGATTTGCCAATGTGATATCATTTGAAGGGCTCTAGGGACGTGGGGGGCGGGGTTCCGGCCTATTCCGCAGTCCCCACCCCCGCGGGGGCCCGTCCCGCTGTACCCGCCCAGGGCCGCGTTCTAACAGCCTGTGACCCCGCCTTGCTTCTGCCCTCGCGTCCCTCGGCTAGCCGACGTCGGGGGCCCTTCCCCGTGCACGCGGAAATACACCAGAATCCCGGCCTTATCAGGTTCAATTGGTCTGAGGCCCGAGGCTGCGAGCCCCGCCCGCGTGCCCCGCCCGAGGCCGGGCGGAGGTGACGTCAGCGGCCCCGCTCCCTTTTCCTGACGCAATCTCCGCGCGACCCGGATCCTTCCGGCTTCCCCAGTTTGGGGGACGTCCAGGTCGGGCTCAGTTCCACGGAGGAAGGTGCAAGGAGTTGTTGCAGGACCGAGTTGGCCAAGGCAGCGAAGGGACCTCGGCGCAAAGGCTGGTCCTCAGCCAGCGTCCAGCGGGGCCGAGAGGGCGGTCGTGCTGTGGGCCCGGGAAGTGACGTGAGCCTGCGTCCCGGGTATCTCATCTGCTGCCGTCCTCTCCAGTAGCTCCCTTTGTAAATTTTATTTTTCGAAAAAAAAAAAGGACTTTCCGCTGTTAGAGTCGTGTTGACGTCGCGGTGTCCTCCCGCCTCTTGGACCTGGCGACTGCTGCGAGTGGGGTGAGCCCTGCGAGAAAACTGGTTCGGGGCTGAGGCTGTAGCTGGGTGGCGAAGCGCTTGCTCAGGTCCAGAGCGTGGGTTCCACGCCATGCCCCGGGCGCGAGGTGGCGAAGTTTCCTGAGGACCTATTTCCCCTCTCTTAGGCAATTCAGTGTTTCAAATGAGAGCGTGCCGCCTTTGCGCATCAGATAGTTACCTTTTCATACTCTACTTTGTTAGAAAGGTGAAGGTACTTTCTTAGGTGCCGAAGGTGTGCCTAGTTTTGTATGTGAACACGAACGTTTGTAGAACACAAGTCTTTTTATAAACAAAACCACGAATTTACAGGCATTCCCTTCATCCGAATTTCCTAAGGCTGTACATCCATCCCCACAGAATTTAAGAACCGTGCCTCCAGTAAGGAAGGAGGCTTTATTGCACTAGGAATAGTTTATCTTTGACAAGATAGTTGGACTAAAAGTACATAAACAAATGTAATAAGAAACCTTGGATTTTAGATTCAACAATATCCAAAACCGAACAATGTGACTAAATTAACATTTGATTGAGTAGATATTAGACAATACTATGAATATTAATTTTCTTTTTATGGATTTGTGTGTGATGAGGATTGAACCCAGGGTCTGGTGCATGCATTTTACCAATGAGATACTCACCCAGCCCACTCACTATTCATTTTCTTGAATAAAAAAACTACTATTGTGGATTTAATCCCTTTTTTTAGGAGAGGCATTACCAAGTATTTAATGTTCCAATATCATCATGTTTACAGTTTATTTTCAACAGGCTTTCTTTCAAATACAATAAAATATGTGTGGGGAAAAAGAAAACATGAAAAAATGCTAAAAATTAGTGGACCTATTTGTTATGATTTAGATATGAGGTGTTCCCCCCAAAGCCCATGTCTGAGACAATGCAAGAAAATTCACAAGTGAAATGACTGGGCTATGAGAGCCTTAAATCAAGTCAGTGAATGGTGGTGATAAGTAGGCAGGTAGGGTAGACTGGACGCTATAATAGGTAATTGGTAGCATGTCTTTTGGGCCTGTATTTTGTCCCTGATAAGCAGAGTTCTCTCTGCTTCCTGATTGCCATGACTTGAGCTGCTTTCTTCTTCCACACCCTTCTGCTATGGTGCTCTGCCTCACCTTGTGCCAAAGCAGCAGAGTCAGCCACCTATGGACTGAGACCTCTGAAACCATGAGCACCAAATAAACTTTTACTCCTCCACATATTTCTTATCGGATCTTTTGATCATAGTGGCGAAAAGCTGACACAAACACTACTATAGTGTGTGCATGTTATATGTTATGTTCAAATGACCTATTAGTAGCTTCACATTTTTTCCAAAGAAAAATGTGGGGAAAATATACTTTGTCCTTTATAATAAACTGGTGAATGTGTTTCCCTGAATTCTGTGAGAGGCTTAAGCAAATTAATTGAACTTGAGTAAGGGTTTATGGGAACCCTGATTATAGCTAGTAAGAAGCACAGACAATTAAAGGTGTTGGGGTGGGGGTGGGCAGAGGGTGTTGCTCAATGGTTGAGTGCTTGCCTAGCATGCAGGAGGCTCTGAGTTCAATCCCCAGTACCAAAATAAATTTAGTATATACATAAGTAAAGTCAGTTTTAGGGACTGAGCCCTCAACCTGTGGGATCTAATACTATCTCCAGGTAGACAGTGTCAGAACTGAATTGAATTGGAGGACTGTTGCAGAAAGAATTATTTGCTGTGTGTGAGGAATATTCCAACACATCTGGTTTCAGAAGTGATCTGTGTTGTGAGAGTATTTGGAGAAGAAATTGAATTTGGGTTGGTTGGTGTTTCTTATACATGTACACAGTCCGCTCTTCCATTTCTGGACCTTAGAAAACCTAGACACTCAATAAGACTTCTCCCTGATTAGATCAAGTCCACTAGGATATTTTTCCCATTGATAAACAAAACTAACTCACTGGGGACTTTAATTACATTTACATAATCCCTGCACATTTACCATATTTCTATTAGAAACAGGTTAGAGGGTTAGTTAACATAAGGGGATTATCCAGGAGGGTGTCTACCAGAAGGTGGAGATCACTGGGTCATATAATTGTGCCTCCTGGGGAACGCAGTCCTAAATAGGGGCAGAAATCTCCAAAGTGTTCTATGTTATTGAGATTGGAAGCAAAATTTCTGTCAATAGAGCCATTTCTACCCTTATTCACCAATCTTGGGCCCATGTAATCTGGTTATGGGGGAGACAGTACCACATAAGACTCTAATTCAAAGCACTGTGCCCTACGAGACAGAATGCCACCCTTTCTTAAAGTTGTCTCACAGCTGGCCCTGCAGCTGAGTTTTCGGGAAGGCATTCCCTCTCTTATTTAGATCAGCTACTTCTCAATAATGGGGTATGTGTTGATTAGTTGATTGCAGAGACTACTCCCATTGTTGCACTAATCTGCACTGGAATGGTTTCCCTAGCCAGTGCCATGTGAGTGCTGTCACTGTGGCTAAAGTATTTTGTGAGCCCATGGATGGTGGTGCCACCTGAAGTGTAAGCAGCAGAGAGTTGATATGACCTTGTGATGTTGATGTCTAAGTGCTACACACTTGATTTCTGCTGCTCTGGGTTTTGACTTTTGTCATTGGAATAGAGGAACTCTATGTGCATTTCAATGATGGTATCAGTACATGAATATCTGGCATAAATTTTTTTGTTATCTCCATAAAGAGAGTATTGTCTTCTGGATCATCAACATAGATTAGGGTAAGGGTGGGAGGGGTGTGGAAATCAGCTGGCAAATTCAGTAGAACTTTCTTGTTTCTATGATCCCTTCTGTTGCATTATGCCAGGGAAGTTCTGGCATGTCAGCCTCACTAACTGTAGGTCATCCTTGAATCCAAGTTTTAGTCACCTAGCTAATTTAGCTGTTAAAGTCGTACCCAGGGCAACCCCTCTTGGGGTCCTCCTCCTGCCCCTGCAGGAGTTGTTTCTATCCTCACACTTAAATAAATCCTATTCCTTAAAAAAAAAAAAAGGTAGCACTGAGGCAAGAGGTTTGCAAGCTTGAGGCCAACCTTAACCACGTAGGAAGACCCTAAGCAACTTAGACCATTCTCAAAAATAAAAAGGGCTGAGGTTGTGGCTCAGGAGTTAAACACCCCTAGGTTCAATCCCCAGTACAAAAACAAACAAACAAATAAATAAATATACAATTCTAGGGCTGAGGCTTAGCTCAGTGGTATTAGAGTGCTTGCCTAGCATATGTGAGGCCCTGAGTTCCATCTCCAGCACTGCAAGGAAAAAAATAAAGAAATAAATTTTAATTCTTTTCCATCACACTAGCTTCATATAAAATGAACATTAACACATGTGATGAGTCAGTACATTGTGGTGCTCTAGACATTGCAGGTCTAGACCAACTTCTAATTATCCTGGAATGTGACAGCAACCTCAGGAGATCAGGACCACTTTAGCTACAGTTGGGCCCTGGTTCACCACTTCCTAAATGGGTGATATGGAACAAATCCTTTTATTGTTTGAATCTAGTTTTTTTCTAGCATTAAATAGGGATTTGATATCTACGGTGAAGGGTTGGAAAGATGCATAAGTCAGTCTGTCTCCCCTGGGCCCTTGCATGCACACAAGCTCTCTCTCTCTCTCTCTCTCTCTCTCTCTCTCTCTCTCTCTCTCTCTC